TAGCAAACCGAATTCACAAATACATCAAGAGGATCATACACCATGATCAAGTGGGATTCATCTCAGGGATGCAAGGGTGGTACAACATTTGAGAATCCATCATACACCACATCAACAAAAAGAGGGACAAAAAACACATGATCATCTCCATAGACGCCAAAAAAGCATTTGACAAGATACAACATACATTCATGATAAAAATTCAAGAAAATGGGTAAAGAGGGCAGGTACCTCAACGTAATAAAGGCCATATATTACAAACCCACAGTCAACATCATACTTAACAGCGAGAAGCTGAAAGCTTTTCACCTAAGATCGGAAACAAGGTAGGGATGCCCACTCTCCCCACTGTTATTCAACATAGACTGGATGTCCTAGCTTCAGCAGTCAGACAACACAAAGAAATAAAAGGCATCCAGATTGGTAAAGAAGAAGTCAAACTGTCACTATTTGCAGATGATATGATATTGTACATAAAAAAACCCTAAAGACTCCACTCCAAAACTACTAGAACTAATATCTGAATTCAGCAAAGTTGCAGGGTATAAAATTAATATACAGAAATCTATTGCATTCCTATACACTAATGGTGAATTAGCAGAAAGAGGAATCAGGAAAACAATTCCATTCACAATTGCAGCAAAAAGAATAAAATACCTAGGAATAAACCTAACTAAGAAAGTGAAAGGCTTATAACCTAAAAACTCCAAGACACTCTTAAGAGAAATTAAAGGGGACACTAACAAATGGAAATTCATCCCAAGCTCTTGGCTAGGAAGAATTAATATTGTCACAATGGCCATCCTGCCTAAAGCAATCTAGAGATTCAATGCAATCCCTGTGAAAATACCAACAGCATTCTTCAACAGACTGGAACAAATAGTTCTAAAATTTATATGGAACCACAAAAGACCCCAAATAGCCAAAGCAATCCTGAGAAGGAAGAATAAAGTAAGGGGGATCTCGCTTCCCAACTTTAAGCTGTACTACAAAGCCACAGTAATCAAGACAATTTGGAAGTAGCACAAGAACAGACCCACAGACCAGTGGAACAGCATAGAGAGTCCAGATATTAACCCAAACATATATGGTCCATTAATATACCATAAAGGAACCATGGATATGCAATAGGGAAATGACAGCCTCTTCAACAGCTGGTGTTGGCAAAACTGGACAGCTACATGCAAGAGAATGAAACTGGATCATTGTCTAACCCCATACACAAAAGTAAATTTGAAATGGATCAAAGACCTGAATGTCAGTCATGAAACACTAAAACTCTTAGAAAAAAACATAGGCAGAAATCTCTTGGACATAAACATGAGCAACTTCTACTTGAACATATGTCCCCGGGCAAGGGAAACAAAAGCAAAAATGAACAAGTGAAACTATATAAAGCTGAAAATCTTCTGTACAGCAAAGGACCACATCAATAGAACAAACAGATATCCTACAGTATGGGAGAATATATTCATAAATGACATCCGATAAAGGGTTGACATCCAAAATATATAAAGATCTCATACACCTCAACAAACAAAAAGCAAGTAATCCAATTAAAAAATGGGCAGAGGATCTGAACAGCCACTTCTCCAAAGAAGAACAGATGGCCAACAGGCACATGAAAAGATGCTTCACATCGCTAATCATCAGAGAAATGCAAATTAAAACCAAAATGAGATACCACCTCACACCTGTAAGGATGGCCACCAACCAAAAGTCAAGCACAACAAATGTTGGCAATGATATGGAGAAAGGGGAACCCTCCTACACTGCTAGTGGGAATGTAAATTAGTTCAACCATTGTGGAAAGCAGTATGGAGGTTCCTCAAAAAACTAAAAACAGAAATACCATTTGACCCAGGAATTCCGCTTCTGGGTATTTACCCTAAGAATTCATCCACCCAGTTTGAAAAAGACATATGCACCCCTATGTTTATCACAGCACTATTTACAATAGCCAAGAAATGGAAGCAACTTGTGTCCATCAGTAGATGAATGGAAAAAGAAGATGTGGCACATATACACAATGGAATATTACTCACCTATAAGTAGAAAACAAATCCTACCATTTGCAACAACATGGATAGAGCTAGAGGGTATTATGCTCAGTGAAATAAGCCAGGCGGAAAAAGACAATTACCAAATGATTTCACTTATCTGTGGAGTATAAGAACAAAGCAAAAACTGAAGAAACAAAACAGCAGCAGAATCACAGAACCAAAGAATGGACTAACAGTTACCAAAGGGAAAGGGACTGGGGAGGATGGGTGGGAAGGGAGGGATAAGGGGGAAAAAGGGGCATTACGATCAGCACACATAATGTAGTTGGGGGGCACAGGGAAGGGAGTATGACACAAAGACAAGTAGTGACTCTGTAGGATCTTGCTAGGCTGATGGACAGTGACTGTAATGGGGTATGTCCGGGGGACTTGATGATGGGAGGAGTCTAGTATCTGTAATGTTGCTCATGTATTGTAGATTAATAATACCAAAATGAAAAAATAATAATTTACTAAAGAGAGAAAATTAAAAAAAGAAATATATAGGGCAACATCCCAGATAAAGGAGCTTCTATCCTTGTGGAGCCTGGGGCCTGGCTCGGTGGCGCATGGAAGCTCCCTCCCGCAGAGCAGCAGGATGCAAAAGACAGACTTGCTTTCCTAGGTTCTTGTGAGGGCTTCGGTGCATAGTCCTGGCCGACTAAGTCATTGGCCACTGGCCACCTCAGCCTGCAGCCTTCGTGCTTGGGTGGGGCCAAAGTCTCGCTAACATGACAAGAGACCCTTTTCCCCTTTCAGGCTTTGCAGTGTTTCCCGAACTGTGAACGGAGACCAAATGTACCTGGGGAACATATATTTGGTCAACTGAATGGGCAAATGTGTATTTCTTATGACTCACATTGCAACTTCAATTAGGAAACTTTTTCTCTTTTAAGAAAAAAAAAGGTCTTATGACTTCAAATGAATTTCTGGATACTTCAGTAGTTTTTTGAAAAGTGGAATATAGAATGTTCTAATTATTTGTATTTTGAATTCACTATTTTCACAGAAGAAACTAAGGCTTTTTTTCTTTACAGGTGAGCAGTATCATAGGTTATTTAATAGTTAAGGAGTTCAGTTATTTTCCTATGTAATTTACCATAACAAATTACCACAAACTGCCTTAAAACAACAGAAATTTATTTTCTCACTGTTCTGGACGCCAGAGGTCCGAAAGCAAGGTGCTGGCAGTGCCGTGCTCTCTCTGAGGCGTTAAGGAAGCATCCTCCCCTTGCCTTCCTGCTACGTCCCTGTGGTTGCCCACAGTCCTCAGCAGTTGCTTGTAGAAGCACTGCTACACCAGTGTCTGCCTCCTTGGCTACGTGGCCCTCTTCCCTCTGTCTCTGTGGCTAAGTTTCACACCAGTCATTGAATGAAAGCCACCCTAATCTATTATGACCTCATTTTATCTGGATTATAGCTGCAAAGACTATTCCAAATAAGGTCACATTCACTGGGAGGTAGGACTTCAAAATATCTTTTTGGGGACACAATTCAGCAAATATATAGGGATTCTCTTTCAAATAGATAGACCTCCATCCTAGAGAGACTTAGGGCTTTCAGGAAAAGTCCTTATATAAGGAGGATGTCATCTTTTTTTTTAATTGTAAAACATCTCTTTATATAGAGACTTTCCAATTACAAAAAAGATGGTAGATCAATATAACCTAAAACCCGTCCTGCCAGAAACACCCAGAAATGTGGGCAAATATATATAAATTACTTTTAATGTGTAGCTGAGCTGGAGAGAAAGAAATGCCAAGGTGCTGGGAATAAAGAGGGAACAGAGTATCAAGGAGGTAAGTGTGTGAACTGATGCTGAGGCTCATGGATAGTCTTCGTAAGCTTGGGACTGGAGTTCAGCACCTGTGAAGGAAGGCCTTGGGCTTATGTAGGATGAGATATCTGAACACATGTAGAGGAACCTGTTCTTCTCAGGTTGCAGCCCTAGTGGAATGACAATAGGTAAAAAATAGTCTGCTCACCAGTGTAGGTGTAACTCATCTCTACTTGGTTTTGGATGGGAAGGAAAAATAAAATCTCCCCTCAGTTGAAACCCTGCTCCTGTGCTTCATTTAGGATTGTGTTTATATTTCCCATGGCCTAGAAACTCCCGGGCCATGGTTTGGATAGCAGTACTGGCTCCAGAGTGGTGACACTCCCAGAGCGGCAGACCAAAGCGAAGCCAGAACCACTCTGGAAGAAGTGTATCACGACTCAGGCTTGAGGGATTCTTACGGAAATGAGCTCCACAGTGATGCGTGCACAGTGAAAATTGACAAAGCGCTAGAGGAGATATTCCATGAGTGGGAGTAAGCAGATGCCACAGATAGGAGAACTGGAATCCCCAGGCCTCAAAGCAACAGTGAGACAGCCCTTAAAGGAGCAGAGGATGGAAACCCCTGCACTGTTTTATGAGAGCAGAAGAACCTTAGTGCCACAGCCAGATGAAGGTAGTGCAAGAAAGGGACATTATAGGCCAGTCTTACTAAATGCATAGACACAAAAGTCCTAAATACAACATTAGCTACCTAAATCTAGCAGTTGTATGTATATAATATGTAGAAACCCACAACCAAGAAGGTTTTATTTCAGGGTGCCAGGTTGATTTAACATTAGGAGATCTATCAAAGTAGATAACGAAGAGAAGCATTTTCCTTAACAGGTAAGAGAAGGCTAAGGCTGCTTCTCACCAACGGAGAATTCATCCATCATGCATGAGTGAACAAGAATGAGCACACATTGTCAGTGGCAAATACTGCCCTACATTTTAGAGAAAGTACAGGAAAGGCACAGTCCTGGGTGGGTGTAGCTGAAGAGACAATATATGCAACAAACAGCTATAGACTGTTCAAGGCCAAAAGCAAGTCCGGCATCAAGGCACGGTTATGTCTGGGTGTGGGTGGGAATATAAAGATCAGTTCCCTGGTAATGTAAATGTCGCCCTTTTGGTTTCAGCTTTTCTTCTTCAGGGGATGTGGCTTGCATGACCATCTGCTCCCACCAGTGTCCAGAAGCCATGGCCTTCTGCTTCCTGGAGACCTTGTGGTGGGAATTCACAGCTTCCTATGACACCACCTGCATTGGCCTAGCCTCCAGGCCCTATGCCTTTCTCGAGTTTGGTTTGTAATTCTCTTCCTTACTGATTGTTCTCCTTATGGCATTGAATGTGTAGAATTTGCAGTTCAGATTTGGGTTTGACCCAGGCAGACCACTGGAAGTGCTGTAACATATTACTGGAGGGCGGCCTTTTGCTGTGAGATTTCACAGCCATTCACATGGCCTGGAAAGCTGCCAGGCTTAGCACTAGCTTTTCATCTCTCTGGAGCCTGGGAGCAGGGGGAAGGAAGGGTGGGGCCTGTACAGGTCATTCACCACAGTGCCCTACAGCAGGGGCCAGAAAACCTGCCCAAGGGCCAGCTGCCTGTTGTTGAGTGAAGTGGAGCAGCCATGCTCATCCTTCCAGTGCTGTCTGTGGCTGCCTTTGCCTGTCACCGGAGAGCTGAGTAGTTGACAGAGCACATGGGGCTAAAAGCCCAAGATGTTTACTGCCTGGCTCTTGAGGCAAATCGTGCCAACTGCTGCTCTAGAGCAGAAGTGCTCCAAGGGTGGTATGTAGACTTGTTCTTCCCTCATGACGTCAGTACAGAAAGGAAGAAAAATAAGAATTAGAGATTATTATGGTGATTTGACATTCCTGCAATATTTTTTATTGTATTTTATCAAAGTATCTGTCCACAGCAGTTTGGAAGTAAGGAAAAAGTGGTCCTTCACTCAGACTTTGAGAAGCCCTGCTTTGGAAGAGGATCCCTCCTTTCCAGGCACTGCCAGAAAGGCCTTGTAAGGGCTCAGGGGCTTTGGAACACAGCATAATTATAGTATATGCTCTCAGCTGTGAATCAAATCATTTTGAGCTTTTGGCAGAATGGGAATTGGACATTCTGTGGTGTCTGTGTAAATGGCTGCTGTCTCTGATGCTCTTGAATGAGGGGCTGGCAGCGTTTGGTACCAAGCATCAGGTGCAGGGCCAGGCACCTGGAAGAGTTTCCACTTATGTTTCCTGGCATCTGCTGCCATAGCTCTCACATTTCACCATGTGCTCTACTGGCTGGCTTATCAGGGATGGGGCCAGCACCCTCTTTCATTGTCACCCGAAGGTGCTGGGGAGCTCCCTGGGATGCAGGTCCCAGTCTGGGAGGCCTTTGACATAGGTGGAGAGTTCTGGCCCAAGTCTCCCTGTGGGGCCCTAGTCAGGCTGCTGCTCTCAGCCCCACTTCTTCCTGTGAAGAGGGCATGCTGTTCCCAAACAGATCACAGCTGCAGCATCCCTGGGCTGTCTGTTGATTTGCAGCTGGTAGACCTGTGTTCTTCTCTCCCCTCGCCAGTGCATGTGCTTGCCTTCTAAAGCAGTGTGCTTGATCTGACAGTAAACCCTTCCCCAGCATCATGTTTGCCCATTAGTGAATGCAAGTTGCATGATATTAGATATTAGATGTTAGAATTATACATAATTTTGCTTTGCCAGTATGTATGAAACTTCACTTCAAATGCTTATTAAAACTTGGCAATGGATTAATACTAACATAAGTAAAATAAAGATAATACCTTTTAAATATGTAATCCTGGTTTGCACAATATATTCACATTCACATGTAGTTTTTATTCACATGACTTTTTTTGTGATAATCAGTTCAAGAGTAACAGTCCCCAGTTTTGAAGCCTAGAAATACTCTGTGAATTCCCCAGTATTGTACTATCATTAATGGCTAAGACCAAGTCCCAATCTCCTGACTCCCTCATCACTGAGGTTCTGGAAGACATTGCTTTCTCTGTGGACAATCACATTTTAAGTATTCTGCTCTGAAGAGATTGATGAGACTAGTCATGATATGTAGTGATCACATGACCTTTAGGTATAGCCTGATACTCTTCAGAATCTGACTTATTGCCTACCTTTCTTAGGAAACTTCACTTTGTACATAGTGTAGAACATCCATTCTCATAAAAATGTATGACTTGGGTTCTCTCTTTGCAGACAGCGTCATTCAGAAAGTGAAGTGGCATTTTAACTATGTAAGTTCCACTCAGATAGAGAGCAGTTTAGAAAAAATTCAGGAAGAGCTTGAGTTCCAGCCTCCAGTGGTTCTCACTCTGCAAGATGCAGATGTGGCAAATGGAATGATGAATGGTCACACACAGATGCACTTGGAACCCGGTAAGTGGCCTGCTGTTCTCTGACGTTGGTGAAGATAAGATGATATTATGTGTTTGTAATGGAAATTGATTTTTTTTTTTAACTAGGTAAGTGTTTTTTGCTTGGGGGGACATGGTGTATAAAATATGTGGGGAAAAATATGAACTGATCATGTTTCCAGGTGGCTGTTGTAAAATTTGACTATTATGAGTTGATCTGAAGTAAGACAACTCTTCTGATGAAATTCTCTTTTGCTGGAAGTCATTTGTTGAACTGAACATATTTATACATTTTTTCTCTCTATATATTTTTTTCTTTGACAATGAATTTTTACCTCATCACTTAGTGAAACATTGTTAAGTCTCCACTGAGAAAGCCCTGCTTTCCTGGATTGGGGGTGATGGGGTGAGAGTGGGCAGGGGCGAAGCCAGCGCTTGTAGTGTTCTCACTGTCTGGTTCTTTGGAGATCCGAGGACATTCCTCTATCCCTGCGACCACAGTGCCTCGGCATTCCATGCCTTAGTCTGGCATTAACACCATCCACTACTCAGTGCCTAGGACATAATGGAGCATGATGTTTTTGCATTCCTTGTTTACAATTACATACAATTCATTTTTTATTGAAGTGGATATTTACATTCTAAGAAATCTGTAATGGTGTAAGAGCTGGATACTTTTCTGACAGAGCTGTCTATACTGTAACAGTCTAATTATTCTGTTTTGACTGTTTTTATACTAAAATCATTGCTTGAATTTTACAGGTGGTGTATTAAAAATGTTCATGTTTTTAGCTTAACTTTGTCTTTTGATATAATCTGTTTCAACCTATGAATTCCTAGATTGGCTGTCATACCAATCAATAAATTGTTGTAATTTATATTGGGAATGAACTTAACTTTTGTAGAAGGAAGACTGGGTAATTGAACCCCAAGTTTCTCCTTTTTACTATTTGAAGACGGGTAACTTTGTAAAATATATTTTGCTTTAGACATGTAGACAAGAGGAGCAAATCCAGAAAGTGTCAGCTTGCCTATCTTTCTAGGACATTTTACTATGGTTTGACTCACCTTATTGTCCTGAGGCTAGGATCTTTCCAGGTAGCAAGCATGTTCTGTTCTAACAGGAACTTTGATTTTCTCAGTGGAAATTCTAACACACTAACAATAGTCATCAGTTGGATTGTGGCTTTAGATATTTGCATGTGTGCACGTGTGTGGGTGTGTATGTGTACATGGGAAATGTGAGGACAAGAAAGGATGATTTAAAAAGAGCATAGAAAGAGAATGGGTGGGACACCATGTAACTGTGAACCAGAGTCAATTCCAGCAGTTCTCTTTAAAGAGGGAATGATCATCTGTTCTGATTAGAGTTCCAGAAACAGCTTGTAGCTTAATCAATGTTTCCCTCCTCTTCCAATTGTTTTACAATTTTAAAAAAGTTGCATTTGCTGTGAATTGTTCTAGAAGCACACATGAGACTGAATGTTGTCCTTGTTAGAAAGAGTGGAACTTTTTACAAGCTGAGAATTGAGGTGGATGATAGAAATACTTTCAGAATTTGACAACCTGTTTACAAATAAAGCCATAAATTGCTTTAAATCAGGATTTCTCAACCTAAGCCCTGTTGACATTTTGAATTGGGTAATTCTTTGTGGTGGAGGCTGTCTTGTGCTTTGTAGGAAATTTAAAAGTATTCATGGCCTCTACCCACTGGATGCCAGTAATGCCTGTCTGCAGCGGTGACACTTGCAATGTCTCTGATGTTGCCAAATGTGTGCTAAGGGGCCAAATCAGCCCTGGCTGAGAACCACTGCTTTAAGTAGAAAGGAAAACAGGCACTTGAAAACCGGTGCTTGCTCAGAGAAGGGCCTCTTTCTGAAGAAATTCACCTCACATCCCCTGATCCATTCCTTAATTTCTTGCCTTTCTTTTTTCTTTCTAACTGCAGCTGTTTTTTAAAGTAATCTGTTTGTAATTCTGTGTGTAACATAATGAGTGTTATGTAGGTCATTAGTGGAGGTCTAGTTAATGTCTTTATTTTTCTTTCACATAGAAATTATTTTTACTAGACACTTATTTTTTCTTAATTGTGAAGCTCCTAATTTCCGAATGGAACCAGTGACAGCCCTGGGTATCCTCTCCCTTATTCTCAACATCATGTGTGCTGCTCTGAATCTCATCCGTGGAATTCACCTTGCAGAACATTCTTTACAGGTAACCTTTTCTGTATAGTTTAAATTGAAGGACAAATGGTGTAAGAAACTGATGGGGATACACTTTATTTGCAAGGCTGTTATGCACAAAGGCTTTATAATACTAGAAATTCAAATAAAAAATTATTTTAAGTTTTATTCTTTGTAGTAAATTGAACAAATGTGAAACTCTCTCTTTGTATCTGTTGTCCTAAGAAGCCAAAGGGGCATGCTGAATATTAGTGAGAAATGGGCAACTTGCTAAAAGGCATCAGACCACTCTGTGGTCCTTGGAACCCACGAGTCACCTCAGGGTCTAGATGGTACACTCAGGGTAAAAGTTTGATTTTCAGACTTTAAGGTTTCAGGCTTTTTTTCCTCTGGGAAAAGTTGTCTCATAGTCTGATTTCTGTCGTGCAGATACCACCTTCCTTGGTTTCTTTGTCAAAGAACTGTGTCACTAGGAAGTTGATTTGCCAGTCTGCTCATCTCAAATCAACTGTCTATTGCAGTGCTTTTTAAGTATTGTTTTTTGATGTTGAAGTATTTCAACCACTTTTAAGTACAGAACCATTATAAGCATAAACAGATAGATTTTTGTCTTACAAGATAGTCATACTGCTCATCCCCATCAATGTGATGGCCAAAGTCTGAAGCACAGCTCATGTTGAATCTCAGGAGGCTGACGTGGGCTGAGCTGTTTGGAGAATGGTGGCAGGCCTGGGCTGTAAGAGTGGTGCCTGCCTGTTACCAACCTGCTGTGTCTTTGGCCAGTGTGCAGAGTGTTTCCCACTATTACTGCTTATGAATACCCATACCCAGATACTTACCAAGTGTCTTGTGCACTAGAACAGGTGCCTGGCCAACAAGATGGCTAAGATGTAGACCCTACCTTGTGGGCATGAAGCAGAGTATGGTAATAATCACCAAGAAAGTGGCAGTGTCTGGGACTGAGCAGAATTAGGAAAAGCTTAGTATTGACAGCTGAGTAGGGTTTTGAGAGGTGGTGGGTTATGGGGAACATTCCAGGTTGAGGGCTCAACACAGATGCATTCTGTTCTCTATACTACCAGGAGGGTGCATGGTGTGTCCAGGCCATTGGAACAGTTGCATGCTGACTCCTGTTGTGGTGTATACACAGGAATTAAGTCTTACCGAACCAGGGTTTTGTGTCATCAGCCATACCAGACTGAATGTGGAGTAAGGTACTTCATGTCACAGTGTGTCATCTCATCTAAGTACCCCTTTTCTTGTGTTCCTCATATTTTTTTAGGTTGCCCATGAGGAAATTGGAAATATTCTGGCTTTTCTTATTCCTTTTGTTGCCTGCATTTTCCAGGTGGGTGAAACATTGCTATTTTGGTGAGTGGGTTAAACCTATAGCCTTTTGTTCTGTTGGAACCAGCAGTTTCTAGATAATGTTTTTGTTCCACCAAGGCCTTGGTTCAGGTCATGGACAATACCAGCCCTTTCGTAGAAGGACCCCAGGCCCGTCCTGCCCAATCTTCTCATTCTATAGAAATAGCTCTTTGGGCTCAGAGAGAGAGAAAGCCACTTTCCCTCAGCCACAGGGCCTTGATAGCAGCAGAACAGAGCAAATCTGGGATTTGACTCCCAAGAAGGGAGGGACAAGACTGCTGTGGGGACTGGGTGGGCCTGATGAGGGTGATTCAGGGTCATGCCTCGTGCTTATTGTTAGGGCAGTCCAGATACGGAAATGTCCTTCTGCAGAAGGAGCATCTATGTGTATGTGCTTATTTAAACAGAGGACTAGGTTAAGAAATTGTTTTTAATAGTAGTACCATCTGACTCAAATATGTCAAATATGAAACAAAAATTGTAACATTAACTAGAGGGCTTTGATTAGTTATTTTCAATAAGCTTGTGTACCTAAGGGGTAGAGTAAAAAGGAGCTTTTGAATCCCCTGTAGGCAGAGTTAATTCTAGTAAAAACTTGACTCTAAATCTCTTCCATAAGATTTTAGTCTTTCTCTGCATGTTTAAGCTTTTTTTTAGTTAAACTTTCTGTTCTCAGGGCTCTTCCTCTCTTCCACATACATCCTAGAATGGTCTGTTCTTAAGGATTACATGAGTGTGCAAAAAGACATTTTCAACTGAAGATTGAAAATGCACTCATTTTCTATAAAACCAGTCTCCAAACCTTGGGTGTTGCCAGTGGGAGTTTCCTAGAGGCTGCATTTTAGGGCTGTGGGGACCTTACTGTGCCACCCAGGCCCCTCTACTGCACCCTTGCCTGGAAAGTTCTTTCACTGGGGAGCTCTCTCTTTTCTACTGTAGCTTGAGGCTTTGTCAGATTGTCCTGTGTTTTGAGAATGTGCTTTTTTTAAAAAACACTGAACCAAAAAGCTGTTCATACCTTTGCAGAACAAAGAATTGCCTCTTTGCTGTGTGATACCCCTACACAAAATAGCAGTCTCTCTCCCTGCTGTGAGATGTTTCCCTGTCTCGGAGATGCTTTGAAGACATGATAAGGAAGATGCCCAGAGAACAGTGGTCTCTTAGGTAGCGACAGCTCACAAAGAGCTGCACTGGTACAAGCACAGCTTCTCACCTATTATGACTTCTCTGGAGAAAAAATTTATTTAGAAGTGGGCCAGTCTTGTTGGGGCGTCCTGGCCTGGCTTTTGGCCCCTTACCAGCATCCCTTCTCTCTCTCCAGCCTACAGCCTGGGCATTTCTGTCCATATTTCTTTTTTATTTTAATTTTTTTATTTTGCTATCATTAACAGACAATTATATGAACAACACTGTGGTTACTAGACTCCCCCCATCATCAAGTCACCACCACATACCCCATTACAGTCACTGTCCGTCAGCTTAGTAAGATGCTACAGAGTCACTACTTGTCTTCTCTGAGCTATACTGCCTTCCCCGTGTCCCCCACTACATTATGTGTGCTAATCATAATGCCCCTTTATCCCCCTCATTCCTCCCTTCCGACCCATCCTCCCCAGTCCCTTTCCCTTTGGTAACTCTTAGTCCATTCTTGGTTTCTGTGAGTCTGCTGCTGCTTTGTTCCTTCAGTTTTTTCTTTGTTCTTACACTCCACAGATGAGTGGAATCATTTGATACTTGTCTTTCTCCACCTACTTATTTCACTGAGCATAATACCCCCTAGGTCCATCCATGTTGTTGCAAATGGTAGTATTTGTTTTCTTCTTATGGCTGAATAATATTCCATTGTGTATATGTACCACATCTTCTTTATCTATTCATCTACTGATGGACACTTAGATTGCTTCCATTTCTTGGCTGTTGTAAATAATGCTGTGATAAACATAGGGGTGCATATGTCTTTTTCAAACTGGGTTGCTGCATTCTTAGGGTAAATTCCTAGGAGTGGAATTCCTGGATCAAATGGTATTTCTATTTTTAGTTTTTTGAGAAACCTCCATAGTACTTTTCACAATGGTTTAAC